TCCAGCTGTGATGAGCTTTTGTGCACAGGCAGGCCCGGCAGAACTTGCCGATGGTGGTAGTTTGGCTCCTGGACAAAGTAGCAAGCACTCTGTTAGGTCTCAAACTGGGGCAAAAGGCTAATTGAGGTGCTATTAGCCTATCAAGGTGGACTCACACCACCAGGCTCCCTCAGTCCCTACCTGTTACAGAGCCTTCCTGGCTGCCATACCCTGCCACCTGCTCCAAACTCTCCAGCCCAGGTTTGGGCTGCCCTTCTCCCAGCTTCTCTGATTCCTATATAACCAGCCAGTTTGGCTACTCGGGTCTCTGCCTTTTGCCCTCTTGGCCACTCGGTCTGAGGCTCCGGTCTTAGCTCCACTCTCCTCTCTCCTACAAAAACCCCTCAGCAAGGTCCTCAGCCTGCTGAAGCTGCCCCACAGATGGTGTAGGGTCACTACAGCCCCCCATGTGATATTCCAGCAGTCACTCCCTCCTGTACCACCCTGCCCCAGCTTCACACGGTCTCAGGAGGCGCCTGAGCATATAAAGCATGGTGGGGAGACCCCACCCATGAAGCTCTATGGAAATTATCGTGCATGTTGAGGGAACACTTGGATACAGCTGTTGGGCATCGCTTCACTCATGGTCCTTAAAGTAAACCTTCTGAGCCAGGCAGTGACGGCGCACGCCTCTAATCCCAGCACTTGGGAGGCAGAGGCAGGCGGATCTCTGTGAGTTCGAGGACAGCCTGGTCTACGGAGCAAGTTCCAGGACAGCCAGGGCTGCACAGAGAAAACCAAATAAATAATAACAAACTCATTGGCTTATCAAGCTAGATTCAAATGGCTCATTATTATGGTGTTGTTCATACCCTGAGGTGAATAGGGGATTGTTAACCTTTTCCCAGGAAAAATTCAGTGTGGTTTCTTGTGTTTTTGTTGAGACAGGGTCTCATGTAACCCTGACTGGCTTTGAACCTGTTAAGTAGCCAAGGCTGACCTTGAATGCTTTTTTGATTATTTATTTTATGGATATTTGTGTGTGCTTGAGTACATGTCTTTTGTTTGTTTGTTTGTTTTTGGTTTTTCGAGACAGGGTTTCTCTGTGAAACAGTTCTGGCTGTCCTGGAACTCACTCTGTAGCCCAGGCTGGCCTCAAACTCACGGAGATCAGCCTGGCTCTGCCTCCCAAGTGCTGGGATTAAAGCTGTGCACCACCAGTGCCCGGTGAGTATGTGTCTTAGAACCACTTGTTTGCAGAGCCCACAAAAGCCAGAAGAGGGTGTTGGATCCCCTGGAACTGGAGGTACAAACTGCCTACCCTGAGCAGCGGTGTGGGTACTGGAAATCACACCTGGTCCCCTGGAAGAGCAACCAGTGCACTTAACCACTGGGCCACCTCTCCAGTTTGTTTTGTTTTGTTTGGGGGGAGGGGAGTACTGGAACTGGGAATGTGAACACACACACACAATCTCCTGATGTCTAGGAGCTGGCCTGACAGAGCCGGCCAGGTTTCATCATTGAGCTGACAGGCTCACAGTTTTGGTGTTGAACCAAATACAAAATACTAGCACCAGACTGTCATTCAATGACTGTGATGAAGATAAGAAATAAGAAATTGGGCGGTGGTGGTGCACAGCTTTAATCCCAGCACTCGGGAGGCAGAGCCAGGCGGATCTCTGTGAGTTCAAGGCTAGCCTGGTCTCCAAAGTTATTTCCAGGAAAGGCACAAAGCTACACAGAAAAACCCTGTCTCAAAAAACCAAAAATAAATAAATAAAAATAAATAAATAAAAGAAAGAAGAAATAAAACCAATTCACAATTTCACAAAAACAAGTTAGTGTGCAAGCCACAAAGAAACAAACATCTGGGCTGGAGAGATGTCTCAGAGGTTAAGAGCACTGGCTGCTCTTGCAGAGGTCCTGAGTTCAATTCCCAGCAACCACATGGTGGCTCAAAACCATCTGTAATGAGATCTGGTCCCCTCTTCTGGCCTGCAGGCATACGTGCAGGCAGAACACTGTATACTAAATAAATTAAAAAAAACAAACAAACTAGTATATAAAGAAACAAACAAACATCTGCTTCTAAGCTAGAGAGGTCGTTGGCCCACCATTGCAGCTCTTGCATCCCTGCAGCCTGCCCTCGTTTTAGATAAAGATGCCCAATTATAGGATGATCCTTGCCTCCATGATCCTTGCCTGCTTTGACCATACCCAATCCAGAACACTCACTTCCTTAAACCCCCAAACCACTCACTCAAACCCCAAATCGTTTCTCCCCTTTTAAAATTAAAATATGTAAGTGTGTGTGTGTGTGTGTGTGTATGTACATGTGTCTGTGTGTGGGTATGCACATGTGGCGTCATGCAGGCACCCTCAGAGTCCAAATGTCGACACTCCCTAGAGACAGGGTTACAGGTGGTTGAGAGCAGCCCAATGTGGGTACTAGGAATCTCTTAGGTCCTCTGCAAGAGCCTCTTCCTTCCAAGTGCTGGGACTACAGGTTTGTGCCACCATGCGCCTCCAGTCCTACCACCTTCGTGTGGCATACTCTGATGCTCAATATCATACTTTCTCTCCCACTGTGATGGCTATTAAACCAGCTTGGCCAACTACATGTGTTGCTGGTGATCTGCAGCTGGAATGCATTCATACATCTGGCATCTGCAGTTCTCACAGCACTACTTCTTAGACATCTGGCATAAAGGAAGTGAAGGCAGGATTTGGGAATTTATGACGGTATGTGTAATCATATTCCTAATCATTTATAAGCCATCTTTTCTAACAATCCAAAATTGTGTCAAAAACAAACATTAAGTTTAACAAGATATTTCTAAAATCTGTAAGTAGTATTTGCCCATTAAAAAAAAAATTGTAGGTGCCAGATATGGGGGCTCACGCCCTTAATTAATCTCAGCACTTGGAAGGGAGAGGCAATTGAATCTCTGAGTTTAAGGCCAGCTTGGTCTACAGGAGACCCAGGACAGCCAGGACCACACAGAGAAACCCCGTCTCAACTCCTCCATGCCCCCAAAAAAGGGGGGTGGGCTGGAGAGATGGCTAGGTGCTTAAGAGCACTGAGTTCAGTTCCCAGCAACCATATGAAGGCTCACAACCATCTATAATGAGATCTGGTGCCCTCTTCTGGCATGCAGGTGGAACACTGTAATATGTACATAATAAATCTTTAAAAAAAGGAAGTGTGTGTGTGTGTGTGTGTGTGTGAGAGAGAGCATGTACAGGCCATAGAGGCCATAGTACATGTTTGGAGTTCAGGGTCACTTTATAGGAGCTGGTTCTCTTCTGTGTGGAACTCGGGGCTTGAAGTCACATGGTTGGTAGCAGGTGCCTTTCCCTGCCTCATCTGCTGAGGGTCTCACCATCTCAACGGACCCACATTTTGTCTCCAGTTCTCTCCTTTCCTCACTTCAGCCTCGTGAGCAGCTGGGACTACGGGCATGTGCTACAGCATTCCCCAATTCTAAAACACTCCTTTTCAAGGACTGGCCATGATCTAGCGCCCCATCTCCAAACCCAGGTGTGACCACTCCGGTGCACCACCAGACAGGAGAGCAATGGAGGAAACACGCACAACCACCTCCTGCTGCACCCGTTTGCTGCCCCTTAGACACCCGAGTTTTTAGCCACAGATGGAGGAGACACTAAAATTTAGGTACTGGGGCCGTTGTTCTAACGACCCTTGAATGGCTCAAAACCTTCTGGTCTTGTGCAGAGATAGAGGAGAGAGAATCAACATACCTTTTCCTATATTACTTTTTGAGATGAGGCCTCAGGTTGACCTTGAACTCCTGATCCTCTGGTCACCTCCTTCCAAGTGCTAGAATTAGAGGTATGCTAATACCCATCTGCCTTTTCCTAGCATGTCAGAAGCCTGGAAAGCTTAAAGCTCTGGCCATGGAGAAGTGTTGGAGCAGGAGGACAAAAACTGCCATCAACAAATCAGAGAGGCACCACCACCTGTCCTACGTTTGAATAAGGGAAGTGTCTGTCAACTCCACAACACCCATATCCCCATTTCTCAGCACACACACCCTCCTTCGTACCTGCCCCCCCAAATGACCCTAAGAGCCCTGGTTACTAAGGTAACCTGGGAACAGCACATGAAGACAGAGACTAGAAACAGATGGGGCTATTTTTAAACTAGACTAGGTGGCTCCATTTCTTTTATCCCACAAAGTGCCTTCCCCAGACCAAAGTCCCATCAGGCCATTTTACATCTCTACCCTCCGTCGCTGGCATCCACCCAACTTACACACGCTACAAGAGGGTCTTCACCTTATTTTTGGCATCAAGTCTACTTTATGCTCCCATCTTCCCCAACAGCCATCTAAGTCAATTTTCACTTCCTTTGTTAAAAAATAATGTTCCTTTATTTCTTTGGAAAGTAGTGGGCACTGCCCTACAGATTTCCAGGCCAAGCTTGGTAAGTGAATGTTCCCCTAGTCTTTGGGTTGGAGTATTATGGTCCCAGGCTTCCCAGGGGCCCATGAGCAATACTGGGCCCCAAATCATCTGAAGGCTCATGAGGCCTTCTCTCCTGACCACCCACTTTCCCGATCTCTCCTGGCTCTCCCTCTGGGTGGGGAATTTTCCTTTCCCGTACCAGTGCTGGAACCTGTGCTGTTCACAAGTGAGGACAAGACCAGGGACATCTCCAACTTCCTATGAGTGAACACAGTCCCTCAGTCCTCTTTCTGCTGGCTTCCAGTCTCAACTCCTATGCAAGCCTCTGTAGGAGTGAGGCCTGAAGGACAAGAGGACCCTTTCAAGAGTGGGGAGAACACACCAGCACAACCCTGCCTCAGGAGATGCTCCTACGAAGTATATTCCTTGTAGTCTCTTGTCCTAGTTTGAGTGGCCCCTCAGACAGGGCTGGGAAGGGCTAGGCAAGTGGGGAAGGGTCCCCTGACCCCAGCCCTCAGACGCTGTCAGTGTGGCATGGCTGTGATGCGCATGCTCTGGGAAGCGATGGGGTAAGTCACCATAGGAGTCGTCGTGTGGCTCATTGTGATTCCTGCCAAGGGCTGGGCCATGGACACAGCCACAGGAGCCACGGGAGCCACAGACACAGCTACCGGGGCCATGGAGACAGGTGGGGGCGCCATCCCCTGGGCGATGGTTTGAGCCAAAGCGGCCGACAGTGGCGCGATCTCGGGGTTCAAGTGTGGAGGTGGGGGTGGTGGAGCAGCAGGAGGTGCAGCATTGGTTGGGGGCGCAGCTGGGGCTCCAGCGGGGGCCACGAGTTCTTGCTGGGACACAGGGCGAGGCTGCAGAGCCTGGCTGCTCAGAGTAGTGTGAGTCTGGGCAATGCCATGGTTAAAAGTGGCAACAGTACCCACAGTGGGGGCCAGGGTTTGCTCAGTCGCTGGCGCAGTGGAGCTCAGGGTCATGACCTTGGCCTGATTGCGGAATTGGGCATTTTGTTCCAGAAGTACCTCATTGGTGGCCAGCAGGTTGCTGACCTGCTTCTTTAGCTCCTCCACCCGTTTCCTGAGCATGGCATTCTCCTCCTCTAGCAGTCTGCACTCTACTCCACGGGGCGGAGCCAAGTTATATTCGTAGGACTCAAAATGGGGGCCATCAGGAGGGCAGCAGCCACCTCTCCGGCGCTTAGGGCCTGGCTCGTGGTCCTCAAAGCCCCTTTCAGGTAGGTCGTAGATATCATAGAGGTCATGGCGTCGTCCCGGGGGCACGGAACCTGTTGATCCTCCACCTCCAGCACCCCCTCCACCTCGAGAATCAAATTCAAAATCCCTCTGCAGGTGACGGAACTTGCACTTGGTTCCTCGCTGACAGTCACCTTTGAGGAAGTCGCGGCAGATAGGGACCTCCTCCTTACCGTTGGGTAGGTCAGCAGGAGAAAGACCCAGCCCAGCCGCCACTTTCTGCCTCAGCCGAGGGGGGAGCTCTCCAGTCTTCTTATATCCATCCTCGTCCTCCTTGGAGCCATGGATGAACCGGCAGTTTGGGCGGCTACACTCCTTGTTTTGGAAGTCATGGCAGAAAATAAATTCATTTTTGCTCACCCCCAAGTTGGACACCTCACTCATGTCTGGGTGGCGGTATCGACAACGCTTGCCTCGCTTGCACACATTCCTCAGGAAGTCTCTACAGATGGCATCTGAGGTGGCCCCCCCACTGCCTGTCCCTGCTCCACTGGCCTCCTCACTGCCACCACCTCCAGGGCCTCCACCGCTGTTTCCGGTGCCGTTGGCATAGTTGTCCCGGTCAGGCATCCTGGTCCCCCCCAACTCAGGGTTTTCTTCCTGTTCTTGCCACTCTTGGTGACTGTTAAAAAAGAAAATGGTGTTCAACAGGGTCCTCCAGAAGCTCCCGCTCTTCCCGACTCTGCAGAGGGCAGTCCTCTGGGGCAATGGCTCTGGAGATGGAGAATCTAAGGGAGGAGAATTCTAGCTGGCCTGGCTGACTTGCCAGAAGTCCCGCCCAGGCCCTTGTGCACCTGGTCTTGGTTGGAGTGATTCACACTTGCCTGGCTAACAGAGAAGGCAGAGAGCTGGGATGAAACCACCCTTACTAAGGATGATGAGCCAAGGAGGGGGCAGGGAGAGCAGTGTTTGATTTACCTTCCCTTCTTAATTTGGGGGAGGGAAATTAAAACAGGTGTTTGTTGTGTGAGCGGACTGAGACAGGAAACAGTGCTCTAAGAAGGGCTATTTAGCTTTGAGAGCTCGTGGTCGAAGGGGTGCCAGGAATAAAACATCCCTTTGCCCCTCTCCCATGTGAACTTAGGCGGTCTCCATGTATTTTAGAAATCCTGGTGACTGCTCAGGTGACTGGTGTCACCAGCTGGAGGGCAGGTTTTAAAGCTGTTACTCTCCTGGCTTGCTCTACACACAGACCCCTCCACTTCAGGCAAAGAAGTTCTAAGCTGACGTCTCTACCTCTAGGTCCCCAGGACAAAACCGTGGCAAGGTCAAGGTCGGAAGGAGTTAATTTTGTGGGAATGGTGACCTTTCTCTCGCCATTCACCACCCCCCTCCATGAAAAGATCCCACTAACATCAAACCATAGCACTCCTTACCCCATAAAAACCCTCTTTATTTATAGACTCTATAAAAGCTTTTCAAGTCTCCTGTTTCCCGAGAGAGCTCTGGAATGTCAGTCCACTGCCCTAATTCCAGCCCTCCCTTCTCTCTGTCCCCCAGGAGGACCGGAGTCCCTGCTACCACGTGTCTGAGCTTCTAAAGGTTTCCTAAGTAGTATTCAGGCTCCCCCTGCTGTCCAAATAGTTCATATATTTCCCTTTGGGCATAAGGATACCTTTCCTCGAGTTCCCTAGCTTTGACATTTCTCACTCACACTGTTTCCTTGACTTTGATTTTAGATTTCCCTAAAATGACTAACCAGATTGGAGGCCAGAGACACAACGGGACAGTGGCTCCAGAATGATGACAACCACCTTCTAAAAGATAACGACCATGTGAAGGATGTTCTTAAAGCCTGACCTGTGCTTCAAGCCCCACCAGAAGCGGATAACCGGGTATGATACTCTTCCTCACCCAATGGTCCCCGAATTAATACCTGAGGTAGCTCAGGTGAAGTCCGGGGCTCCTGTGAGTCTCCACTTCCACATCACTGCTGGGTTCTGAACAAGAAACAAAAAGACCAGAGATTTGGTGGAAGAGGGAAAAATCGTGAAGGTTAGGGGATGGTTTTCATAAATCGGAATGAATTCTGACAAGACCTCAGGAGCCTCGTGGCTTTTCAGGATTCTCTTACAAGTTCAAACTGAACGCCACCTCAGGGGCAGGAGGAGAAGGGCTGGGACCGGGACCGACCACTGAAGTCTGGGAAGCTGGGCTCGCGGTGGAGGGTGAGGGGCGCTTTACCTCCAGATGAGAAGGGAACGGGGGTCAGAGTCGGGGCCTGAGCGCTGGGCAAGGGCCAGAGCCCTGACAGCACAGGGAGAGGGCGGACTCGGCCCGGGGGCGGCGGCCAGGACGGCCCCGG